TACAGAAGTGTCAATATGTAAACAATAAAAATTTCATCATAGAAAACCTTATACATTTCTTTCATTAAACATTTAACTAATCACATTTAAGTAAGTTTAGTTAGTCAAATCCTTTTGGGAGAAATGGTATGTATCATCTGAAGAGTTATGATGCTTCTATGTTGCTGTACAAAAGCTTATTTTCCCTGCCCTAGGATTTGGGATATGTTCTTTTATTTTGTGTATTACTTTTGCCCTCTGAAAATGCCTTAATTAAAACAGTGCTTCCTGTCATAGGAAATGACACTATATGAGGTTATCTCATGATAGTAATTTCTGCGTAGGTTTCCTTCTTACACACCTCAGTTGATAATATGGAGTATCTTTTATCCTACATTTTTCCTTGCAGTTGAAACAATATTCAATGAAAATTTCATATAAAATTATTTGAAATGTAGTAATTTTTATGATACTTTTTGTATTTTTTAATGAATTACTTTACTACTCTCCCTTTAAGAGATGTTTTTCTTATATAAATGGAGAGAAGCCATCTAAAGGTTCAGCAATATATTCAGAGTTGAACAGCCTACCAAATACATCCCTATTACAATAAATAGGTAGGTTCACTGGAATTGGGCACTTATTTTGTATTTCCTTTTCATACTTGAGCTCAAGGAACTGATGATGAGGAAAATGGCTTTCAATTTCTTATGCTTTTAAAGTTATAGGAGCCTCTCAAAGAACAACACTGTGACCCTCTGTAGATATAATTACAAATTTGTTAATCTATAATGTGTTTTCAGAGAGCTACAGTGATAAATAAGAAATTCACTTGATTAAAATAGCCAAAGAAACTTTACTACATTAGAGTTTATAAACCATGGTCAGTAACACTACAATATTACTGTTTTCATGACAATATTGTCCTTCCTATTTGAACATGATACCACTGATAGTAATTGCTATCTGTGTGCACACTGTAGCTGAAAAGACCTGTGTACAATCAATAGTTCTATTCAGTGTCTGCAGCAAGATACCTTAACAGCTTAGAACTATGAAGCTTTTTCTCAAATTATAAGTAGATCTGTTTTTACATTAAAAAATGACAGCTCATGCTCAGACTAAGTCTATCTAAACTCAGAAGTGGTTATCTCCACTGCAAACTGAAAATGTTCTTTTTAGAATATTACTTGTCTGATTTTGATATTAACATTTCATATTAGAGTAAGGGGAAAGTGTGTTTGTTAAACTGACCTAAAGTACCTTTTGGCTCGTTGTGTACCTTAGAATAATACAAGCACAGTCACACTGACAAGTATCTCCATCCTAATGATTTTCAAATTAAGGACTGGCTTCAAATTAGGAAAGCTTTTTGTTCACCTAGCTTTGGAATAGCATGATGTACGCTAATTGCTAACTTTGCCTGCATTATTTTTTAAAGATCAAATGGGCACAGTGGTAATTTTCATTAATCTCATACAGAGCAGCTAATTAAAATTTCCATTATTATCCATCCATTATCTAGTTGTTTCCTTTGTTCAGTGTCAGAACAGGATGTTAATAATAAGCCATTCTTGTATTACAGCCCTATTAACTATAGTGAGAATTAGTTTAATCTTTTGCATTGTTTTGTTTTTAGGTGATTTCTTTAATATTATGTTGCACCATATTGATTATGCTGACTATACTTTGACACTTTGACATTTTGTAATAGAGATTTGAGAATTAAATACCTGTTGCTTTAACTTTTTATTCAATATTGAGAAAAAGCAGCATATGGTAGAGAAAGGAGTGACTCAAGGACCAGAATATTTGTGTTTTAGTCTGTTAACCTTGCTAATTATGTGAACTTGAGCACTGACATGGATTCTTTATTTTTGCAATGAGGATATTAGAAGAGGTGATCTTCAAGGGCCAGTCCAGCCTTAATATGCTATCATGTTTTCATAATTTTCAAATATGAACTTATGTTAAAACCTCAAAGTTCTTCTAAGCCTGGTAAAAGGCATTTTGTTGTATAAAGTTATATATTTTCTGTCATGCTCCATTAGATTGTTTGCTTCCTTTTCTTATAACCACAGGGTATCCTAAATTACATAATTTAAACTTGTTCCTAAGACTTGGGTGGATGTGAACCACAAGGTGATGGGCTGACCCCATTGTCCATAAAGAGTATCTCAGCCATGACCATATGTCCCAATTAGACCAATCCTATTGAGAGTCAGTTAGAAGAAGGGAACTAACATTTTCTGAGTAGCTTTCTCTGTGTCTATGAGATACTACATATGCAATGCCTGTTTTAAGCACTTTATATGCACTGTCTTAATCTTCATAACAAACCTGAGGTGTAGGTATGTATTACCTCTATGTCATGGGTGAGCAAACAGGTTTATAGAGATTAGTTAGTAGCATGCCCAGATTACTAGAAGGTAAATGACTGGGGCCAGGTGGCAAAGTCTGAGCTGTCCTCAGCATGCCATACAGCAGGAGTCCTCAACCTATGGTGAGTTGTATAATTATATTGCATTATATGTTACAATGTAATAATAATAGAAATAAAGTATACAATAAATGTAATGCACTTCCACTGCCATACAGTTTCTCAGTTTACCTGTTCTATACTCAGCATCTCTGAATATGTTGTAACTGAAAATCTCAGAACTGTAACAGTTTGAAGCAAAGCTAAACTAAACTTAGACATTTCAGCATGTTGAACCTCATCAGTCATTCACTCATTTGTTTATTCTTTTCCACCTACCCACCCACCTATCTGTTCATTCAGGAGTATGTATTGAGTGCTTCCTTGGTGTCAAGCTTTGTCTAAGATCAGAGAATGCAGTGGTGAATAAGACAGGCAAGGGTCCTGCCTTATGGAGCTTATATTTTAGTGGGGAAAACATAGCAAACAACTAAATTGCTAAAAAAGATAAATTTTGGTAGAGCTAATACTATAAATTATGTTTAAAATGGTATTGTGATGATAACTAGCATGTGGAGGGGAGAAAACTATTGGGCTGAGACTTATGTGATGGTAGCTAGCATTGGAAAGATTGGGGTTAGAGTCTTCCTAGCAGAGAAAATAGCAAAATACAAAAGTCATTCAATAGGAATAAACTTTATATACAAACCTCTAGGGGGTGATCAATAGTGCCTTTTTATACATTAATTAAAAAAATAACTTGGAGGATTATATGAAAGTGGTATGTAACTGTAGACTTATAAAAGTTTAATTTCTTATACTAGTAGTTATCAGTAAATAGAGCCATTGTTACTGTAGAACTTTGTATTATTCTGTAGAAAGTGAGTTGGGTTAGCACAAATTTTTTCAAAATTATGCTGTAATTATTGTTATTCTTTGTAGAATAGAAGATGCACACATAAGTCATAGGAGTGTGAACAGGATTTCACTGTGATGTTTTTACTTACGGTGCCATCTATGTGGAGATTTATCCAGCCTATTCTTGAAAATTTACTGTATCTTGTAACAAAGCAAGAAAAAGAAAGTCAGTGGCCATTACACAAAATATGGGAGTTAAAAGTATGAAATTGTATTCTGCAATTGTTATGGACAAATTCACTAATAGCACACTTTTTTTGAGGCTCACTAAATACAGGCACTGTGTTAAACCCTTGGCACACGTGGAGTGTTCCCAATGTAGAAGAGAGGCAGATGCAGATAATGATCTCTACCACAATATTTTAAGTGCTATAGTAATGGTAATATTGCCACAGTGCTAAGGGAATAGAGTTCCCCTACATGTTGTAAGCCTTTATCAGACTTTAAACATTTAATTTTTAATGGATTTTTTTAAATTTAGAAATTAAGACTGATTTAGAATTTATATATTGAGGGTATTCTCAATAAAAACCCAAATAGTGTGAAACCCTAGGGAATCCATTTCTCATTATTAACACATTTTTTTTTAAAGTTCTATATCCTCTAATGATAATACTTCTATCCAATGGTGAAACAATTCCTTTCCTTATGATATCCTCATGAATATCATATTTCCTGTATCATATCCTTATGATATCACATTTCCTTATACATATGCTTAGATACTTAGCAGAAACTGAGTATAATTTGTATGAACTTGAAAGATAGGACTCAAGCTAGAGTCCTTTTTTTTCTTTCATTAATTTTGGTATGAATCAAGCTAGTCTTAATTCAAGGAGATACATTTATAGTATAGGAAAGGCACAGTTATGATTAGGTATATCTAGAATGTGAAAGTATGAGTTTTTAGTACAGTGAATGTGTTGACAGTGTTTTCCTCTCAGCCTTTTCCCTGAACTACTTATATAGTTATTGCAAGGTTAATGAAGCTAAGGAGCTGTGATGAGACAATGAGTTCTAGAAATAATCCATGTATATTGGAAATTAAACTAAAAACTAATGGCTATCAGATAAATGTATTTAATGACATTTTAAGATTAATCTATAACATGGGAGTAATAGGAAGGAATAGTTGGGAATTGGTGAATAACACTATGTTGTTTTACATTTCAATAACCATTTTCACTTGTTTTTAAAGATAGACTGATAGATACTCTGATGTTGTTCAGTAGATTTGGGTTAGGTTTAATGTTTTATATTATATTAAATTTACTTTGCTATATTTGGTGGAATTGAATATAAATATCTTAACTAGGAAAATTAATAAGATGATTTTTAAATACCCATCCTCTGAGTTAAGGAAGACCAGCTAATGTTAATCCTAATGCCTGGATTGTAAATTTAAGCACCCCTGTCAGTGACACTTTGTGCAATTCAAGTTCATATTCTATTCAGGTCATCAGCACCAGCAGTGTAATTTTCTTCTAAATGAAGGTGAGGGGAATGTTGAGATATACACAACACAATTTTACCACGTCAATTCTGTGATAGAGAATTTTTAAGTGCCTAGCACTCTGCACATATTTTTATATAGTAAAATATTTATATATTCTATGTATTATTTCACTTTGAACTTTTAAAAAAAATGTTGTTCGTCTAAAATGCTATCTTTTTTATTTTACAGGGTGGGCTGAAAAACAGCAAACATGAATGCACCCTGTCTTCACAAGAATATGTTCACGAATTACGATCTGGTATTTCAGATGAGAAACTTCTTAACTGCCTAGAATCTCTGAGAGTTTCTTTAACCAGCAATCCTGTCAGGTAGGTGGCTCTTATCATTTTGGTATGATTCATACAATTTGTAATATATATAATTGTTTGTAAATATAATCAATTATGTTATCTTAATCTCAAGATTGTCTGAAGTCTGATGTTAGTTAATAAAGCAGCAATGTCTGACTGTGAAGTTGTAAACATTTAAAAATACATTTAGTTAATTGGATCTCTAATAATATGCAATTTTAAGAATATAAACATTATTATTTAATACCTCTTTGATCATATAAAACATAGAGCCAAAAGTTAAATAACCACGTTTACCTTGAAATCTATTTGTATACTCAGTTAATTATTACATATTTATTTCTGAAACAAATTAAGTATATTGGCTCCATGATTTTATTCCTCTCAATTTTGAGAAGTTGCCTCATTCAGAAATGAGGGGGGATGGGCCGGGCGCGGTGGCTCACGCCTGTAATCCTAGCACTCTGGGAGGCGGGCGGATCGCTCAAGGTCAGGAGTTCGAGACCAGCTTGAGCAGAAGCGAGACCCTGTCTCTACTAAAGACAGGAAGAAATTAATTGGCCAACTAACGTATATATAGAAAAAATTATCTGTGATGGTGGCACATGCCCGCAGTCCCAGCTACTTGGGAGGCTGAGGCAAAAGGATCGCTTGAGCCCAGGAGTTTGAGGTTCCTGTGAGCTAGGCTGATGCCACGACACTCTAGCCTGGACAACAGAGCGACACTGTGTCTCAAAAAAAAGAAAAAAAAGAAAAGAAAAGAAAAAAGAAATGAAGGAGGTTGGACTAGTAAAAATACATTTTTATAAATGTGGCAGGAAAGGCTTAAAATTATACGTGGGGCTTTAAAAAAATGTAGTAACCACTGGCACACCCCAAAGACTTCTGGGATCAGGCGTGAACCTGGCAGGCCCTGATTGGCTGGAGGCAGCTGCAGTCTGGTAGCTGATTGGCTACACTGGTAGCGGGAAACTGGTTGTGGTGTCAAGCACCGGGCATTTTGTGGTAGCCCTCAGCCGAGCTCAAAGCCAGTCTGTGGAGCTCCCTGACAAGAGCCAGACGCCACCTCCTTCTCTACCTCAGCTATCTGTAAGATGAGTAAGAGTGGGTTTGGAAGCTATGGCAGCATGTCTGCTCAGGGTGGGGCTAGTGGAGGCAGTGACCAGCCATCTGAGGGAGGTGTAGCTCCGGCTACTAAGACCTCTAGACCCAGGGCCCGAATCCAGGATATTATACCTTGTTGTGTGAACCAGCTGCTCACCTCTACGCTGGTCGACAATGTATTCAAGATTAGGGGAATTGTAGTTTCCCAGGTCTCCATCGTGGGGATAATCAGGCAGGCAGAGAGGGCTCAAAATGGTATTATTTATAAAATTGATGATATGACCTCGAAGCCAATCGAGGCCCGGCATTGGCTTGGTAGAGATAAAGTCAAGCAGACGACTCCGCTACCAGTCGGAGTATATGCTAAAGTGTTTGGCATCCTTAAGTGTTCCGCGGGAACAAAGAGTCTTGAGGTATTGAAAATCCGTGTCCTGGAGGACATGAATGAGTTCACCGTACATATTCTGGAAACGGTCAATGCACACATGACGCTGGATAAAGGCCGTGAGGAGACCGCTGGGGAAAGTGTGCCTTTGGCCCCATCACAGAGGGATGACGTCAGGGAGTCTGAGGAGAGCCTCATCCGGAAGGAGGTGCTGCGTTTGATTCACGAGTGTCCTCGACGGGAAGGGAAGAGCATCCAAGAGCTCCAGACCCAGCTCTGCGGCCTGAGCATCAAAGCCATCAAGGAAGCGATTGATTATTTGACCACTGAGGGCTACATCTATTCCACTGTGGATCAGGAGCACTTTAGATCCGCTGATTAAGGAAGCAAAAGCATCCTTTCATTTTCCGAAGGCCCTTGCCTCCAGCTGTGAGCAATTTTGAACTGTTGACTTTTAGGAAGTAGGACTTTTCAACAAAAAATCTGAACTGGCATCCTTTGGCAACTCGCTGCTTTTCCAACTGCTTTGAACTGTTTGGTTGTTCTAACTATTTGAAGCTCAGAGGGAGATGGCGATGGACAAATTGACTGGACTCTGTAGAATTTACCATCAAAATAATGGAAACACTCTAGGATGGATGATTTTGGGGGGGAGAAAAGCTACAGAAAAAGTTGAAATTTATTATTTAGCTTCTTTGTAAAGAAGTATAGGGGCTTCTTTTTCTGAAATATCTACATATTAGGAGAAACTAGTTGCAGTCAGGGAGCCAGCTAAGAGACAAAAACAAAAAAAAAATTTTATGTGTTTTAACATTAGACTTATTTTCCATGTTTGGACTTAGCTTATTATAGTCATATTGTTATCTCTTGCTAAATATAGTAATTGATTAATTCGAATGTGCTAAAGATAGTGATTTATGAATTCAAATGCTCAATTCAAGCACTTCTTGTGTGATTTGCTCTTATTACCAAAGGTTTATGTTTTCTTAAAATTAAGATCACAATGTGTTTAAATAAATACTTCATTTTTGCAGCATCATCTTTGAGTACTTTTCTTAAAATATGGTAAAATCAAATGATTATTTCAAATGCGATGTGATATTTGGATTAAACTGCAATTTATTGTAGTTGCATGGTACCTGGATGCCAAACTTTCTGTAAGTTTGATGTGGTGGTGAATTGAGGCTGCTATATTTAGTAACACACTCTGTTTTATGTATAACAGGATATTTTTCTTAGAGCTTAGGCAAACAAAAAGTCATAGGAATATGAAACAGCAAGTTTAACGGAAATTTATTCTAATGTTTTATTAAAATGCTTTTGAGTGATTTTTTTTTCTAAGTACATTTGAAAAAGGTAGCTGGGCCGGATGGCTCATACCTGTAATGTAGCACTCTGGAAGGCTGAGGTGGGAGGATCCCTTGAGGTGAGGAGTTTGAGACCAGCTCTGAGCAAGAACAAGATCCTGTCTCTACTAAAAAAAAAAAAATAGAAAAAATTACCTGGGCATTGTGGCACACACCTGTAGTTCCCAGCTACTTGGGAGGCTGAGGCAGGAGGATGGAGGATTGCTTGAGCTCAGGAGTTTGAGGATGCAGTGAGCTATGATAATGCTATTGCACTCTAGCTTGGGTGACAGAGCCATACTCTGTCTCAAAAAAAAGAAGAAAAAAAGCTTTTGTTTTATGTCCCTGAGAATTAACAGTTTTAATTATCCAGAATAAATTTTTTCCTTTTCTCTATATAACATGTTATATCATAGTTGTAATAATATATTTTAGTGTACATTATATTAATTATGTGACCTTTAATTGACCATTAAAGTAAGACCTCAGTTACACAGAGACTAAAGATGGTCTTTAAGGATGATCTTTCAACGTGCTGGTTTTTTTACTTTAGAGGAAAGAAAAAAAATACATATCTGTTTTTGAATGAGTATATTATATCCATTATATAGTATTATATATTATATGTATGAATATTATATATATATTTAGTCAGGTAGAAGAGAAGAACATCATTTGTCTTAATTGGTTTATGAAAACAGGGTGCAAAAACCAGAAAATCCCTTAAATGGACCATTGCCAGTAATCAATACTGTCTGTCAGGAAAACTATCAGCAAATGGCCTCTCTTTGCCATTATAAAATCTTAATACCAATTATTGCTTAAGGTTTGTGAGGCATAAACTTTTCTTCCCCTGGAAAGCAAATAAATTGTAAATGGCATTCTTGAAAAACACAAATGGATAGCATAATATAAACTTACGATTTAAATTATGACATTTTTGAAAATTCAAGTCTTCACAATCCTAAAAAATATTCTGAAACACTGTTGAAAAAGGTTACCTGTCCTGGGGAAAATCGTACTGGGGGAGGGGCAATGAGGGGTATATTTCTGCCTCAGAATTGTGCTAAGAGAAATATTCTAGGATAGCGATCCCCAACCATTTTACACCAAGGACTGATTTCATGGAAGACAATTTTTCCATGGGGTTGTTGGGGAAGGGGGGAGGCGGAGCTCAGGAAGTGATATGAGGGGAGGCAGCTGCTGTAAATACACTTGATGCTCACTCTCCTCTTGAGAACTCGTGAATATTACCATTTAAAAAAGCTTTTAGAAATCTGCAGAATAGAAATTTATTTAATTTTACTAATACAGAGTTTCCAAATATTTTTTATTTAAAAAAACCATTTTATTACTTAGAAATGGCTATAACCATTCCAAAATATAAACTACACCTTCTGTTTCTACCAGATTTAAACCCACCATAAGCCATAAAATTTTGCTCTCTAACCTTCTATTATAAAAAGGCTTGACCCTCAGAGAAACCAACAAATAAGCAACCAAACCAACATAGCAAACAACTAATTAGCCTTTCTACTGAACAGAGACAAATAAGTAAATGAAAGCAATGAAACAATAATAAAAAATCATAAATGGAGGAAACCAATACAGGGATAAATCCAAGAATGAGAATAATTTATATAAGAAGGAAGTTATACAGAAAAATAGAGAAAAATAGGCTATAGAAGAGTAAATCACTTCTATTGCATAGTGTCTTATGTAGCAGTAAAGGAATTCCTGAAATTCCTGAAATAAAACAAGAATCATGGAATATTATTGTTTTAGTGTCCTAGGGTTTACATAACAATTACCACAAACTGAGTGGCTGAAAATAACAAGAATTTATTCTCTCACATTTCAGGGGGTCAGAAATCCAAAATTAAGATGATATCAGAGAGCTCCCTCCAAAGGCTCTAGGGAAGGATTTTTGCCTGCCTCTTCCAGCTTCTGGCATTCATTGGCCTGTGGCAGTGTGATTCTGATCTCTCCCTCTGTAGTCATTTGGCCTTCTCTATGTCTCTGTGATTTTCCATCTCTTATAAGGACATTCTAGTTGGATTTAGGGCTCATCCTAATCCAGTACTGTATAATGTTATCTTGAACCTTACCTTAATTATATCTACAAATACTCTATTTCCAAATAAGGTCAAAATATTCTGAAGTTCTGGGTAGATACTATTTAACCTACTACAATTATGCAAAGGAAAATTATCCATAAAACCATTCAAATAGCACACATAAGCTAAATTCTGTCTAGGTAACAATATAATTATTAATATTTCAGAATGTCTGAAAAATAAATTCACGTAGGATTATCATCGTTAATGAAATTTTGTTGGCTCTGTTACCTTTATAAAGTAAAATTTTCTGTAGTACTAAATTCTGAGAGGTAGCATGTTATGATAAAGTCACACTAAAATGTGAGTTATGAAATCTAATTTCTAGTTCTTGATCACTCACTGTCTGTTGTGATCTTGGTTCAGTCAGTGGACCTCTTTGGGTCTCGGTTTCTTCATACATAAATGAGATTGGAACCTTCCAGTTCTAAACTTCTGTGTTCTGTATTCTGTTTTGCTTAGTTTCAATCCTATTACTTTTGCTATTGGAACTAGAAGATTAGTGTTTAGAAATTATTTTGCAGAGTGAGAAAAATGTTCCTCCATAAGGCTAGAAGATTTCCTTGCATTCCATTATTTTCTTGTATTTATTAATATATTTCCTAACCCCAGACAAATATTTATAATTTCTTTTAATTTTGAAGAAAGCAGTTTCTAAAATTCTGTTGCATTACTATTTTTCACACTTGCTGTTCATTAGAACCTGGACATTTGCCCTTTCATAGCCGATTTCCCTCCTTACCACAGTTATAACTGGTTCCAAAAAAAATGTTCTTTTTGTTCTTACCCTAGTAAAATACAAAATAGATAAGTGCACCCACATACATATACATACTGATAGCCTTACTAAACATTCTCAAAGCATGGTAATTTCGGAATATTAAATGGGAGTCATGAATTTCAAATTCATATGGTATTTAATCACTCAGATGATAAAGGTGCTAAGAAAGTCATTTCATTATATTATTTTCTGCTGAAGGCAAATATTTAAAAATACCTTTTATAAACCATCATTAACGGGTCATATCCCAAATCACCCCCTTACTATACCTTCCCTCAACATTGATTTTTTTACTATATACATTTACCTGTATCTGATTATGCTCTATAATTGTTCCATGCATGTATGTCTGCCTTTCTCATTTAGGTTTTAGTCTTCTCTGGGGAAGAGACCCTCTTGCCCTCTTATTTGTTTCATGATGGCTGGTACTGTGTGATTTTTTTATATATAATAATGTGTGATTTGATGTGGGTGTTGACCCACCATCAGTAACAACCTATGCTTTTCCAGCAGTGAAAATGAATTTGCATTAATCTGGCACTATTTTGTGGCCATGCATTTTTAGATTTAATCAGAAAAAGAATGACGCTAATAACTTCCTCCACACAGGAATGAAACCTATTAGTTTGATTTGAATCATATTCATAAGCTACAGACAACATAGCATGGTTTACACAATAGTCTTTTTTATAGTCACATGATGAATTAACAGAATTGAATGTTTACAACTCTGTTTAACACCCTGAATATCCATGCTGTTTTAAAATAAATCCCAATCTTGCCATCACAAATTGCATTAGACTTTGCACATACCATGGTGTGTGTGTGATTTAGAATGAGAACTGCATTTTTTTACAGATTTTTGTTTCTATTCCTTTTCTAAAGTTTATGAAAGAAAGCAGTGCCTGCTGAGAAATGACCAATGAGTTTGAACAATTTTATTCCCAGCCAACCCATTATGAGATGTATAGGTATTTGGTAATACATTTTATGAAGATCCAAAGAAATGTGCAGCAATAAATCATTGTCACTAAGGTTTCTTAGCATATGACAAAAACAGCAAATACTGCTTTGAAGAATAGTATCACAGAGTTGTGATGGTGTAGAATTCTTTTCAGAGTTGTTGCTGAAATTGCCTCACAGTTTTAGGGGTATTTAATCCCACTAGGAAACTATTTGCTTGGGATCTAGTTATCTGCCAAACTCAAGGTAAAGTATTTGTGTTCACTTCCTGTGATAATAACTTCCTCAGCCAATGTTTCCAAGCAGGTGAAAACAGATAAACTATCTTTTAGAGTTTATAAATGTGCACTTATTTGTATTACTCTGTAATGTTTGCTTTTACTTGATGCTCTCTTATTTCCCTTTAGATTTAAACATATTTTTCTAGTGTATTAATATACATTTTAACATAATCATCATAATGAATATAGCTGCATCTTGACAGCAATACAAATTAGGAATAGAAAGCACTTTCTGAATTATGGCTGTTAATAACTATTTAAACAGCCTGTATTAAACTTATTAAAAGCTTGGCAAAGCAGCGAACACTACTTAGAAAGTTAATATAAAGGTAGGTGCAGATCAATACTCTTAGAGCATTTTGCAGGGGACTACATATGAAAAATGGAATAATAAGAACAATTTTTTTACAATGTAGATATGTGAACAGGATTTAAAATTGTGAACACATCTCACAAAGCAGCATTATGAGTAGTGTTACTAAAGCAGGTTTTTTAACATTGATAGTTTGAATTTGTTTGCTTTAACTTTGAAATGCATAATTCATTTTATTAAATAGAATAACTCTATTACATTTATACATAGAAGAGAAAATAGTAAATTCATTGCAGTTATGTCAATTTATATGCTTTCTGTTAAAATTATGGTCAACAATTTGAATTAACATCAACTATATCTAAGCTCATGTGAATAAGTTGGTACTGTAAATATTAAGTTACCTTGAATTTTTAATCATCTATTATTAGCTTCAAAACAAAATTTTGACTTAAGGCATATCCAAAGTTACATCTCATAATAGTAGCAAATTAGATCTATGTGTCCTATATTATATTTAAAAAGAATTAGGCACAGCAAATAGTGACTGAGGTTTTTGAAGTATTGTTTTAGTCGGAGAAATTATTACAGGCATTCAGATAAATAGTGGCTTTTGTGTTGGTA